AATTGTTGATTTTTAGAGCTTCAAAAATAAGATTATAATTGAAATAATGAAACTTTCTTACTTTAGAACAATTTTATAGGCAAAAATTAAAGCTCGTATAATAAATTTGAATTTAAAAATGGGATTTAAATAAAGAAAAATCCTTAATCTGAATACCAAACCTAAAATTTTAAATTAAATATCAGAACCAAAATCTTAAACCCTTTTTATATCGAACAAAATCTTCAATTTAATTTCTCATGTACAAATATTTAAAATATCAAAGAGCAACTCATAAAATTATTGACAAAAAAAAATTATTCATGCTCATTGAAGACTCACTTAACCGAGATGAGGAAAAATATTATTCAAACAAGAAAAGTCTTCATTAACAAAAAAATTTCATGAATTTCAAAAGTGCTTGAGAATTTATTTGCAAGAAAAAAAAGGGAGATTAAATACAGAAAAGTTTCTGAACAAACTGAACTTTTCAATAACTTATGAGTCTTTCATTTGTTTTCTTTGTCTTTCAAAATTTTATTCCTCAATTGGGGAAACTTTTTAAGGTCGAAATTGAAATGTGAGAGAGTGTTTAGGTCTGAAATGTGAGATTGTCAATTTCTCACAATTTTAATTTATCAAGAAACGAGGGCTTGAAGGATGAAAAGACAACAACAATGCCTGAAGTATTAAGTTATTTGATATCAAATTAGATATGCTTTGATAATTTCGTTGTGATGAAGATGAATGATGAGAATAAGGAAAGGAAAATTAGCTTACGAAAGCTATTTGTTGAGTTTTATGTTAAGTAATGAGAATTTAATGAATTTATCAATTTTTTTCCTTGTGTCTTTCAGTTCTTGTTCGCTTTTAGCTTTAACGATTATTTGATGATAATTTACCATTCATTATGAATCGTGTTTGTGTTCCTCCTATCTTAAATCAGCAAATTATTATGTTAGGAAAAACTTTTACCATTTTAGCTTCTCATTCTCACTCTTTAGGATGATTTTGTCAGAATTTTGAGAGATTCTCTAATGTTGAAAATAAAAAAGCTCATTTAGGGCAAGACTGTACTGTAGTGGAAGGTCTAATTAAGACACAATTCATCTTTCAAGAGTTATTTCTGCTCCAAAATTATACCAAAACTTTCTTAACGCCATAAGCGTTTTATTAGCAATTGGGCGATAATGATGATTATGCAAAAAATAACTCTAGAAAATTTCTTTTAATGGAAACAAAAACCATGCAGCAACAACTAAATGTTTCTTTTTTAGCCATTAAGCGAGCGCGAATAATGAATTACGATTTCTTTTTTTTACATTAATTTTACACGAAATTCTAGAAACAACGAGCATTAAAAGCAGAGGCAACATACAAAGCAATTTTTAATGGTAATTTGTGATAACATTTTAGCGTTTGTGTCTGCCTTCCTTCCTAAATAAACCTTCATTTAATCTACATACGAGCTCTTTTGTATAAAATTTATATATTTAGCATAATATGCAAACACAAAGCCTGTCATCAACATTTGAAAGTTAAAAGTAACACATGTAGGTAAAGAATGGAAGAAAATGTGGATAGAATATCATAATCTTAATTTCAGGATTTATCCTAAAGAGAAAATTTAACGATTGAAATTTGCCCCAATGACACGTACGTTTACTTAGTATGAAGAGGATGTGAAGCATGAAAATCATTGAAAATGGATAAATGGAGCGTATTTTTGGGTTAAATTGATTGGATTTAAGGATTCGTTTGTTTTGAAGATTTGTTTAAAATCTTTTTAGAATTTACTGTTAATATTGAAAAAATTATGTCAATAGCAGATCCAATTTTGCTCATAGCTTTAATTTCCAACATAAATTTCACAACCTCACCAATAAAAAAGAAAACAGAAAATGAATGCCTGTTGCTAAGAAACTAAATCTTCCTTCCATTAGTCACCGAAAATTGACTTCGACTTACCCTTAAAAATTCTCAATTTTTAAAAAACCGCGTCATAAAAATCTTGAATTTATCGTTAAACATTTTAAAAAGTTTGCGATAACACGCACTTGTTGTATCATTTATTATATCATGCTCTTCAGTGCTGTCATGCCTACAATCATCTTCTTCACCCACATGTTTTCCGTCTAATAAAAATCATGAATAAATTTCTGTTTTCAACCTTTTTTATTTCGGTTGTGTGAGCTTCTTTTGCTTATGATTAAGTACAGCAATTTAAGAGATTAATTTTGAATAAAAGAGAAAATTCTTTTCAAGTTTTCTGAATGACGAGCAGAATTCTTTAAATCATAAAAAAGTTTTTACACTTTCTTGAGTTTTTAAGTTTAAACTCTGAACGAGGATGTTTTGTACGGAAACATTTTCATATTAATAACTCGGAAAATGAATATTTTTAATGCCTCTGCCATTAAAAGTGACTTTAATGATGTTATAACTTAAGCATCAAAATGGTAATGATGATGATGATTATAACGATGGTGTTGATGATTCAAGAAACAAGAAACGTGTTATAATGAAATTGAAGGAGATGAAAGCGGAATGGGATGGAAAATTGAGAAGATTGTAGATTAAATTATAGGAATTAGTTAAGATTCTTATGACTCGTTAATTTTTGTGTTTGTTTAAAATTGACTTTAAAGATTGAGATTCAGGAAAATTGAGGCAATATGCTTGACAGGTTGATGCAATCATTTTTGAATATTAATTGATTTTAGTTTGACTGAACTAGACTCAAAATTCTGTGTTGTTGCCTAAAGTTTTATATGAGTTTTTGGAGGAGGTTGTTTCTTAACAGACACAAAACATAAAACAACATAAATGCCATATTCGCGATTATAGAATATCAAAACAACTCCCTACAAGCTCAACAAAACGCCTACCCAATATATATATATATATATACAAAAGCAAACAATCTCCTCAACTAGTTATTTTAATGAAGTGTGAAAATACAAAAACTTTGTCATAAAACATTCTTTATTATTATATAAGATAGTCTTGGAATACAAATTAAAGCGTTTGCTCAGCTTTATGGAAATGAGAAGGTGCGATTCTTGAGCACTTCCTTTTTTTCCCTCTGACAAATTTTCAGCTATTAACAGGCAAAAAAGGCAATACAATAAACATTTACGATGATACGACGTATACGTTGTTATGCTTTTATCTATTAATTTATCTAAATTAGTGAATAATTTATGCTAATGAATAAATGAATCACTTGTAAATGTTTATTTGAAGATTTAAGGATAAAGTGTATTGTTGGTTTGTTTTACTTGAAATTAAAATGTCATAAATTATTTAAAATTATTTCTGACACATTTTTATAGCATTTTTATTACAGACTAATTTAATAGGAGGATGAACAGTTGTGTGTGGTTTTAACTTGATGAGTAAGCAAGTTGCAAAAAAGAAATATTTAAATCTCTAAATCCCTGTACCTTCTTAATTATACTTAATTCGTCTGTATAGAGCTTTCTTCATCTTCCAAATCACATTGTTTTTCACTCTGCTACCTCAATGCTCACATAAATCCATCATCTGTTTAATATTTCTAGATGAAAATCATCCTTCATTTTAAACAACGTATTTTATCATCATCATAGTCTAATTTTAACATTTATTGTTGATCCCTTCTTGCTCTCACTTACTAAAAGACGTTAAAATTTATAGCTCCATGAGGACTACTAGAAACATTTCTTTCGAAGTGCGAAATATTCTTTTTATTCATAAATAATTTATTGAACATAAATCAGCAAGCTTGAAATGAAGAAAAAGTTTTTAGCGAGCTATGCAATTATTTTTTGGTTTCAAGAAAGTGTCCATGTTTTGAATTTTTTATGAGTGCTTTAAAGTGTTTGTGGATTTAAGAGAAGAGGTTAAGAATAAGAAAAGTTAAGTTCACTGACTTCTTGTAATAAAATTTGGTAAACTCAAATCCCTCTAATAACATCAGATTAGTTCCTTTAAATTTCCCGTAAAACCTGACTCCAACACAATCGGCCTGTTTCACTAAAGTGGATTATCCTCGATTTCGGATTATCAACTTCAGTTTTTTGTAAATATCTTAAACTTTATGGGAGGTGTGGTATTTCTAATTTTGGATTATAATAGAGTGAAGTATGCCTAAAATTTCTGTACACTTTAAACTTTTACTTTTCGTTAAGAAATATTAATTATTCAATTTTCTAGCCAAATCTAGTAGATTATCTTCGATCTTTGCTATAATTCTCAAACTAGTGAAGATATAAAAATTCTAAGTTTATGTTAATTTAAGTAGCAAAATACTCTAACTAGATCACACATTAGATTTCTTAATAACCTTAAACGTCTGGAGATATTTCCAAAAAACTGAAGTGGATAGTCCGAAATCGAGGATAATCCACTTTAGTGAAACAAGCCGAATAATTTCAATTTGAGGCGAAACTTGTCAACAAATTTTAAAAAGTTCAATAAAAATCTGATGAATTTTTCTACTTAAAACATTCATGTTTTTGTTATCGTTTAAAAATTTTGCTCGTATTGGCACAATGTCAAAAAAATAAAACGAGAGAGTTGCCTTTTTTATTATAGCAAAAAAAGTCTCATGTTTGCAAAACGTGATGACAAATGAAATTGAAAATTCTTCCCTGCTCCCCCTGAAACTGAGATTATTTAACTGCTATTTCTTTTAAATAAACACACCGAGTGAATGTATTAAAGATGAGTAAGAGATTAACAAACAAAAACAATTAAGATGACTGTAACAGGTGACATCTATTAGAGAGTGAGGTTTAAGGCAAGATTAATTCAAATGAGTTTTTAATGATTTTTTTGTTAATAAGAAGAACGTTTTTTTCACAAGAAAAATAGCAGACGTTAAATCTTTCAATTGAAGCTTACACACGAATTGCTATATTGACGTCCTTGACAATGTACTTCACAAAATAAAACGTTATTGAACAAGACTATTTTCTTTGTTATTTTCGTTAGCGATCAGATATGGACGTCATATAAGTTAATTAAGAACTACTCACGTAATGTACGGCACTAATTGGCATGTAATTATAGACAATAAGACCATGCTCCTCGCCAACAGGTCGTGGTTGCAGTTCCTTGCCTGTTGCTTTGTAATACGGTTCTGGCTGCTCCGGTGCATACTCTATGTGATACACGCGCTCATCGAGTACCTATTGAAAAAAGGAAAAAAATATTAAGATTAAAAAATTTTAACAATAAAATAATAAATCTCCATTGTGGAGGTGTATATATAAACAACACAAGCTAAATATCATCAACAAAAAAAAGTTCAGATGAAATATGATGCTGTTATAACTGAGACTGTCTAGTGGGATATTTTTCATTTATTATCACGTTACTGCTCGTATAGCTTTTCTGTTATTAAATTTGGGTGACAAAAATTGGCAGCTGTAGTAAATGAAGTTATATGAGGATAAAATGGAATGGAACTGGGGATTGGAAATAGTTGTTTTTGGATAAATTTTGGAAGAAAATCATTAATATTTTTTCTTGGAAAATGATATAGAATCTTGAAGGTTTTTTTGCTTTTTGTGATGGTGAATCTGTATAAGAATAAACTTCTTAATAATATCTTCTAATCAGGTATTAAACCAGTGATTTCAAACTTTTAAAATAAACACAAAATATAAATTCAAGAACAAAACGCTTGTTTCTACTTAAAACTACTTAACAGTATCATCAAATTTCCATCCCTTGAGTTGTAAAATATTTTAATCAACTATGTTCTATCATAAACTTCAATTACGATGAAATACGAGCGACTGCATGATACAGCATATGTCAAACATTGAAGCGTAAAAATTATTGTTCCAATTTTTTTTCTCTCTCTCCTGTCAAACGACATCAAGTGAATACTGACAACAACAGACAACACAAAAACGTAATTTTTACTCCATTTGAAAAGTTTCTCGTTCACAAAAAGAGCACCAGCAAAACTTTCTTCCCTACAAACTTCTCATCGTTTACATATTTTTCTTTCCTTTTTTATTTTGTGCAAAAAAAGGAATAAATTTTTATGACACATGTTGTTGTTATCAAGCTTAATGTCTTAAGGAACATGAAGTGTACGAAAGAGGATACAGAAAAAAATTAAAATCAATACTTCAGGGAGAATTTCATGTCAGTTTCTTTAATGCATGTTCGTTCGAAAATAATAAGACACAGCTTTATTATGATGATGATGATGATGCTGGTGAACGACTGACTATAGAATGAGACGAGAAAAAGACAATGATCTACCAAAAGGAAAGTTTTGTGTAACTTAATAAAAGTTTTCTTGATTTTTAACAGTTTTATGAATACTTTTTGCAGAGTTGCTGCTGGCAGATCCAGATTTTTTTTTTCTGGATGAATATTAATCAAAACTTTTTGTCCCTTCTTGAATTTAATTTTAACTTTATCCTTCAGATAAAAAAATGTGTTGCTCAGCTATTCATGCCACATCCACTTGTCCTCATCTTAAATTCTATTCCTTATCAAATTTAATTCTCCTGAGAAGAATTCAAATCCGTCCGTTTAAGAAAATACTTTTTATGTTACTTAAATTGTAAAAAAAATGAACATCGAGAAGACGAGTAAAAGAAAGGAAAAAGAAAAAAAAAGTTGTTTGATTTTAACTTGAATTTAAAATGAAGTTTACTAAGAAGCACAAAAAGTACTGAACAAGACAAAGATAGAAGAAGAAAGAGCTCTTTCTGACGAATGTTGACATTAAAATTTTAAATTTTTATTACAACTTTTTATCTAGAAACAAACTATATAGAGCTGCTGGAATGACTTTAAATGATGGGTAGATTTGCATTACATGATGGCTATTTGGAAAGACAAACAAAAGTTTTATATTTCTCAAAGGAAAAGAATTAGAAATTCTGTTAAAAGTCAGTTGGTTTAAAGGGAATATTCTAGTAGAAAGGGTATTTTCTAGCTTGCTGATTTAATACAACATTCAGAAAGACGGCAACAACCTCTTGAATTAAGAATATCGACCCCTTTTTTATGTAATATCCTTAATATCTATTTTAAAACTTATGAAATATTAAACTGAAGAAACTGGTTTTATTACGAAACGTTTAACGCGACCATTAGAAATAATTACAGTAAATGAAATATTTCTCCTATGCTATATGACTTGATTATCATTATCCTTCCTAATAGCGTGTAGCGTGTAAATTTTATTCCAGGTTCATTATTATTTTACTCAAATTTGATCCAAACTTAGGATAGAAATGAGAAATCGAATTTGAATAGAACATGAACTTCAAAGTGATTCCTATGGCATCACAGCCTTTGAAATAGCAAAAAGGTCGAACTCAGATATAAAATTTCTCTCAAGTTTACCATTTCCTTTATTCTTACGTCCACAGTTGTACAAAAATTTCTGTGAACATTATCAAAAACATTCTCAACATTAAAGATTCATACAAAAGTGTATGTTATGTCATGCATATAGGAAAGTATGTTAACATTACATATATCTTAAAGGATGATTTTACAAGCTATTACAAAAGTACGAAAAAGGGAAGCGACGAGAAAAAACTTTAAATTTTAAGCACATTTTAACGTGTGCCACACATGTGCTCTTCAACTCATTCTCACAACTGAATGTGATCAAGGAATAAAAAATTTCGCATTCGTTTGCAGAGAACAAATAAGAAAAAAAAAATCTCTTTCCTCCGTAAATTTAACTTGCCATCTTATGTTTCGCCTATCCGAAAGGAATTTTTATATCAAAAATATTAGATGTAGATAAGTGAAGTGAACACTACTGTTATATGATGTCATAAATCTCAACAATCTTTTTCTCTGTTACTGCGTTGAGTGATGATAAAATGTATGCTTCTTTATTCTACAACCAGTGGTGAAATTTATGACATCTACATTGAAAGATGTGAAATTTATTGACATATTCGTGTATGGTTACTGTCAATATGACGATGTGATCGAATATAGATAGATTGTATATTTACTATAAGATTCTCTTTTTAGTGTCAATTTATTTCATATTTCTGAGTTATATAGCGCCATTCAAGACTTTTAATGAACAAAAGTGAGAGGAATGAAGCCATTAGAAATATAATGTGTCCCTTTGGTTTGTTTATGTTATATTAAGGGCAATATGTTGTTTTTAAGCGCATTTTCAGAATTTTCGCTAGCATTGAAGATTATAAACTCCTTAATGAGATTCGAACCTGAATTTTCACTCTAAAATTTCCAGTCAAATACTTTCTTCACTAGAAAGGATACCCGTTATTTGAGCAAAAGCTATGCTTAAACTAATTTGTAATTCCAACTCAGACATTTCAGACATTCAACAAAACCTCATCTTTCTTGAAATTCTCGTTAAAACTGTAAAGATTAGAAAAGTTTTTCTATTTTTGTCACTTATAAAAAGAAATATCAAATGAAAAGAAAGACACTTAGACTCGCGTGCTATAAATTATCCGGCTATTTTTTTGTCGAAACGTTTTGATTTTCTTTTTTATTTTTGAACATTCTCACTGTGTGGGCGATCGACGGATAATAAATACACCAAATACTATAACAATTTGATACCAAAGTCTAATTATTCTTTTTTCATCTCGCATGATAATAAAAATAATTGTGTTTGCATACATGCATGCCCACATTTTGCTGGGGATGATTTAATAAACTCAGTATATATATTGACCATTTGAGTGGATATTAATTAGAGATTTTCGATATTCTCACCTGACATTCATTTGGCCATCGTGGCAATTGTTGTGTACACTCATTGTCACGTTCCTTAGGCAATGCGAATAGATCTCGTGGCTCTTTGAGCCTTGCTATTGGCCTTAAAGTTCGAACGTCTGTATTAACTTCAAGTTGATTTGTTTTTAATGCTGTAAAAGAGATGGAAAAAAATATATTGTTTATTTTTGTTTTGTTAATTTTCGTTTATTTTTGAATGAAAATGATGAAAATACACAATTTCGTTTCTTTATTTTGTTATTAGTAAATTGCTAAGTCGTCTTAATATGAAAAATATTCTTTTCAACCAACAAAATAAAGCATTTTTCATCACGCATAAAAAGCTTAGTCAACTTTATACACTATAACGTTTCCACACCATTATGTATTTTTTAGATAATGAAACTTACTGTTTGATAAAAAACTGCCTAGGTATCCTGCTGAAAAGAATAGAAGGAAGAAAATAGAACGAAAAATTAGTTATGGTAGGGAGAAGTTCAATCAACTTTTGTGTATGTATTTTTTATAAAAAAAAAAGCTATGATAGAAAGTAATGAGAACTTTTATTCTGCTAGAAGCCTCAATTTCATAGAAGCTTTAACAATTATAGACAGTATTGATAATATAGGACGTGAATATAACGTTCTGGCATGTGAAACATGGCACAATGCGTATTTTTCCGGAAATAAAAATAAACGAAAAAAAATCATTTTTCTAAACGACGCGCGGAATTTTTCTTCTTCTTACACTTTTTTGTGTTTTTTTCTTTTGTTATCCTCCGTGAAATAAAAAAAAACGATAGAACTGAAAAAAGTTTTGTTGGTTCAATAAAAATTCCTTTAATGCGGTAGTTTCATGAGTTATGTGAAAATGCAGAAAAAATTCCCTTCATTGCTTTTATATTACTCGCGCTATTGCCACTAATTTATTTGATTTTTACTTCTTTACTTTATGGTATCGTGGGATTTACTGTGGATATAAGAGCGTGATAAAAAAAGTTTCTACAAAACGCTTGTGGATGGAGGTGGTTGATGTTCGATAAGTTCTTTATTTTCTAACTCTTCTGTGCTTTATTTTAATAAAATGAAGTTTTTATATGCTTTGATGATGTACATTGTAGATATGTTGATCGAGCTATGAATAATTTAAAATTAGAATTGCCAACATAAACGTCTAATTTAGTAACAAATTCAATCAACGTTTTTTGCCTAAACTCCCACAAAATACATTCATTTCCGAAACTTTAAAACTACAGAGCTTTTCTTGTGCTTTTTCCACATTATAAACTTTAACACGAAAACAGATTAATAACCGGCACGAAATCGGAAAATTCTTGCATTTTTTTAGTCAAATACAATAGAAACCCGATATCACTAGCTTTCCTTCAACTTGCCCCTGAACAACAGCAGAAGCTTTCATTCGCTAATTTAATGAAAAAGTTTCATTTTTTTGTTCTCGTTCCATGCTACTGTTGTGGCGATGAAGCGATGAGAACTAAATGAAAGAAGGCAAAAATAAGAAGATACGGAAAGTTATTTTTGTGGATATGAAAACTTTTCGATTGTTTTTTTTCGGTTTTTTCTTTCTTCCTCTTTATCGTCTTTTTTTATGAAAGTAAACTTCTTTATTGGTAATATTTATTAAATCATAAAGACTATTGATATTGTAGTTTGAAGATTGGATATTGAACTAAAGGGAGTCAATTTTTTCTTTACTTATTTTAATTGGTGTTAATGGATGGTGTTTTCATTTGAGTCTGAATTTTAAAATTCTCAGAATTTCTATTGTTTAAATCTCGTTTCATATTTTCAACTCATTCATCTTCTTATAAACTTTTTTAATAAATAATCTCAATCGAATTTTTTTATTACATCTTTTTTTTTATCTAAACCAAAACCTTCAAACCCTTTTGGGCATATGCTTTAAAAAATATTTCTATTCATCTTTCTTCATGAATATCGTGATATGAAAACTTTCTTTCGAAACCAAAGGTTTTTTTTTGGGGATTATAACCTTCTTCAACCTTTATGAAACAAATTTTTTACAAGACATAGTAAAAAAAGATGGAAAAATAAAGAAGCAGGAAGAGAACAAAAAAAAATGATAAGAGGAAGGAAAGGAAAGAATAAGAGTAAAATGGAAGTAAAGATTACTATCATTTATGTTCCGTGGAATGTGCGTTGAAGTGTAAATAAGGAAGAAAAGAATGAAAGTGTCGGAAAAAGCAGCATCGATATGAAGATATGTGAGGATATGGGCAATAAGTATATATACAGTAGAAAACCATCGATAACAATCTTGAACAATTTCCTAACACCAGAAATTTATGCTTGGTTTTCTTTTTGCTGTTATGAGCCATTTTTGGGGGTAATAGAGTCGAGCGTTTGGGGTTATTCGTGTAATTAAGGTCAATATAGTCAATATTGACTCTACAACAATACTAAACATCTCAGTTTGGTGTATTTCGAGCTTTCAGCTAAATACTCTTTAAGGAATACCCTGAACTACTTGAGTACATCAACTACAAAATACACTCCCAAAAGCTCCATCGGTTCTTAAAAATGCACGGAAACTCTCATTTCCAAATCAGCTTTCGAGATATTCAGCTCACATTCTCAAACATTCAAGGATTGCATTAGGCACACTTTACGAATTTATTTTAGATTTCTTATTTTTTCACTCTATCTTTTCGAGTGTGCAGGCAGACACAAAAGACATGGAGATAAATCGAACAAAGCAAGAAATTCACAACGAGTAACATGTTTTTCCTTTCAAATGATGTCGATGTTGTTGTTATGGTTAAAACAAATAAGCAACAAGAACAAGACGAAGAAAGTAAGAAAGAGAAAGAAACACAGAAAAAAACAGTTGCGGAAAAAATATTCTTTTTTTTTGTGGTTCGAGAGGATGTAGATAATTTATGGGTATTGGATCGATTCATCGCATCCACAATATTATCATGAGAGAGTAAAATAAAAGAAAAGTGGAAGAAATGAAAAAAATTTTACGAGGAAAAAGGAAAGGAATAAGCGAAAAAAACAGAGAACGTCATGTGATGCTGGTGATTAGAACGCATTTATCAGGTGAAATTTGAGAAACTAAGGATGTAAATCAATTGAAAAATCGAAATATTCTATTCTTATATGCGATGTCTGGTAGTAAACGCTTGACGAAATATTAGTGTCTCCATAGAAATTGCAATTTTTTGTAACCATTTTCAACTTTTGATAAGTCTCACCCCTATCAACTCAAATTTGTCAAACATTTTCAAGTGAGCCTTTCCCCTTGCTCCAACCTTGCATTTATGTCAAACCAAATTTAAACTCTCAATCCCCTTGATATTCTCCGCAAAAAATATCACTTACAGAAAGCCGTAAATTGAATTCTCAACAAAAAATTGATGTAATTTTAAGCTCCGTGGTATTTTACATGAAATAAAACTCAAAATAAATTTTTCTTTGAATCAGAAAAGGGAAATAAGAAGAGAACATTTATGTTATTTCATAATGAACAAAGAATTGAATGAAATAATAAATGGCAGGTTAAGGCACATATATACACAAAAATCGATGTGCATATCATTGAAATTGATATTCAAAAATGCTTTCAACATACAATACAATATGGATGTGGGGGATTTGAGTGAATTGGCACATTAAGGCGGTGGAATTGCTCTATCATTCTACCTACTCATTCTTGATTGTGAGGAAAAAAAATTGCCAACGCAGTTGTGTGAGTTAAAGTTTGCCATAGCAAAAAAAAAAGGAAATTTCCTTTCCTGTCGACATTTTTCAATAAAAAATTATGAATTATTATAATACAAGAAAATTGCTGGAATTCAAAGACTTTTCATTTTGCCTAGTCATTGAATTTTTAAATTGGAATTTGATTGAAAGTCTAATAAATACATATATAAATAAAAATTCCTTTTCCTTCACACACTTCGAAAATAGAAATTTAATCGATGATTTTGCTTTGGAAATAAACTTGATGATTGAGGACGTCTGTGTTTGATATTGAGCATGTGAAATACTTTTTTTTGGCAAATTATTTTTGAAAATATTTAAAGGAAAAATGAAAGTTTTAAAATATTTTGTAAAATGAAAGTGAATAAATTGCTAGTTTATGTAAGGTGAAGTTTATGTAATTTATTAATATAAAATACCCCAAAACACATTGGTACAAAAAATCTTAATTTTCTTAATTTCTCATCCAATTTCCTTACATCTAAGCAAATAATTGCATTAATTACAATCTGTAATGGACCCAATTTGTCGGATCATTTGAGAATTTTGTGTGTAAACCTTATTACAAAAAGGTTTTACCACAAGTTTTTCTCCTTCTACAATTATTCCATCTTCTCCTTACATTTTATGTATTACCTTTAATTAGAGAAGGTATCAAATTTTCTGTGTAGCTCATGATATTTTATGAATCATACTTATTCCATTTATGTCAATTTTCAGTGCAACCTTCACCTCAATTTTGTATGAATATATGAGGTCACATTTAATGAGATTTTTTTTGTTCATTCTCTTCAACTTGTATGGTTCCATCTCATAAACTGCCTCAAAATTAGAATTGCCTAATGATAAATTTCATGAAATATTTTCATGTAATAAGCAACAGTCTAAAACAACTTTTTTTTTTGCCTTTCTGGCAAAAGTCAAAAGAATTATAAGCGGAATGAACGAATTATAACATTACGAACGAGTGAAAGTCATGGAAGAATTATTTGCAGAACATTTACGACTTTATTTCTGCCGTTTTTACTGTTTAATAAATGGTTAAAAGGAAGAAACGCAATTTTTTATTGTTATAGTTTTCCGTCTTACCTTCCTTGTTTGTGATATTTTACGGATGTTTACGAGTTATGGAAGGCAGACGAGATTTATAGGAAAATAAAGGTGACCGAGTAATAGGAGACGGGAAATTCGTGCCATTTAGATTATTATTAGATACCTATTTGTAAAAATAATAATATTATTGGAAGATTTTATTTGTTGAAAATGAGGTCAATGCACGCAGAGTTGTGGAAGAGATCGATATGTGTAATAATAATATTTCAATTTTGTTTTTTAATATTAAAAATCTTAGCTTAACTTGACAGAAAATCTAAAATAATGAACTAGCCAAAACTTTTCTTTTAAAGTAATAAAATCAATGCTATTTCCAAGACTATAAACTTCCGAGTAAACTGATGAATCCAGAACGTTAAACGACCATTACAGTTTTATTTTGATCGGGTCATCGCTTTGATTTAAGGATGCAAAAAATTTCAAAATAATAATTTTCGTCTCTTTCGTTCTTTGTCGTTTATTGAGCCATTGAGAGGAGATTTATGGATGGACATTTCATAAAGATTTCAGTAAGAGCAAAAGTCGTAAGTTGCTTTCTCTCATCTTCTCTTCGTTATTTCATGTCTCAAATATAGAATATG